AGCGGGACTGCAGTTGGTTGGTGCATACGCGGAAATTATGAACGAACACCTTTTGGTGTTGCTACCCTTCCGAACACTAACTGAATCCCGTAGCCTCATTGAGCACAAACGACTATTGACGGGTATCCAATCTATCATAGAGGGTTCAGCTTTGTCATTTAGTAAGATACCTACACCACGCTGACGCAGTGAGCAGGCTTTGTCGTTTCCTGATGTGCGAAGGAAATGCCTCGAGGACAGACCCGGCGTACTCAGGTGGTTTATGATACTAGGATCCTGAATTCGTGTCTCCGATACGCAACAGATATCGATTTCTATACCGTTTCCACTTCAAGTGAATCCGTTTTTACTTCAAGTGAATCCAACTAATCGCACTCTATTGGAAACCCCGACAAGGTGGTGATACAAAACCAGTCCCTCGGTAGGCAGTGTTTTCCAGTGCACGTGGTGATTAAAGAGAAATCGAGGCAGAAAGTTCATGCATCGTTAAAACGGAACGATCATGTAAAAACAGTAGACTAGGTTGGGCAGGTCGACATTTTGCTGATCGTTATGGTGTAAATGGTACAAGCTATCAACCGTTGGGGTCGACTCCAGTTGGGTCAAAATAATCACGTATATTTGGATTCGAGCGGAGAAACTAACTACAGTAGTCACCCCCATCATCTCATGCATGCTAAGTATCTTGTGAAGTGTGCATTTCAATGTCAGAAATACGTAAGCAATCGCATTTGATTCAAAGGTATCGGTTTTATTCGAGAGAAACTCGGCCTCAATAGAATTTACTCATTGGGTTATTGTGGGCTTGGACTGACTCCACTCATACTAAGAATCATGCTCACATTCACGTCTGGGCATGGTGACCGACTTAAAGATCCATCTTGGTGTGATTCGCTTCCTTACCGGACCGACAGAGGTCAGTTGACTCCGGGTTAGTTCATTCGTATCTATGACGCACACGAACATAACGTTCCTGGGTGGAACGGGTGTGCGGGAGAGATGGGGGGAGAACGGCCCACCTCGACCCACCCACCATCCTCCCGAAACATTCAACCTTGCTCGGTAACTCGCGAAAAATGTACTTTTGTTTGTTTACCGGGAAATTACTTCATTCGAACTGGAGGGGGTTTAGACAGCCCCGATCCAATCGGTGACATTTGACGGCCAAAACACTAATCATCTTGTCGGGGTTTCCAATAGAGTGCGATTGGTTGGATTCACTTGAAGTTACAACGGATTCACTTGATGTTGAAAAGGTATAGAGACTCTATTGTACGCACAAGATACGCCTGTTGACCCACCTACATAAGAGTTGAAAGCCCAGATTGAGAGGTTGACGAAACTTCAGAATCTGCAATTTATTTACAGAAAACTAGTTACAGTGCTATTTGGCAACAACTTCGGCGAGTGACGATCAAGTTGTTTGAGGGAATGTTATGGGTCGGAAGAAGGGGTGAAGGGATAGGGTTGGGTACGGAAGACAAAGAGTTAAACAAAAGTACCTTCTTTCCCGGCACTGTAAAATTGCCGAAAACCTTTCCTTCTTCTTTATAACCAACCACTCACAAACTTTTATTATTCAAAAGCAATCAACAAATTGGTCCTCATATTTAAATATATATATATATATCAAGGCGGATGAAAAATTCTTAAAAGCTTACAGCGGATTGGGTACGAAGTCAATCTGTTCAATATCAAGCGGTTGAAATCCCTTCTCTGCGCGCATCCTATTCAGTTGCATACAAGTCTGTAAAAAAAGAAAAAAGAAAAAAATGACAACAACGAAAAAGTGCATGAATCTAGTCTATATGAGGACAGGAATGAACCAGAGATTGAGTGAAAATTTCGTGTCACAATAACGTGAGATTAGGGCATGGCAAAGATTCTAGCAATCCATATTGAAATTTTAATTTGGGAAAAACTTACAGACTTCGCATATTAGATCCCATAGGGGGAGGTTACACTTTGGGGTTGGAACACGATTCCCAAGATCACAAATTTCAAATTTTTATTATATGTATATCACAAAGCTGATGCCTACTGAATCTCACAGAATTTGCACCCATTGGGTTCGGCTGGTAGTACAATCGAAGAGCAAATTATGGCGTTCACTCACGGGTGCTGAAAAGTTAGATGTTTCAATGCTTTGTCCAGTCGTGACTTGAATGAATCCATGGTTGGTGCACAAACAGCTTGAGGTGGAAGAGACATCCAGGAATTATAAATTCTGAGGCTGAAAGAATGACACCTACAGTCTAGCCGACTCCTTTAGAGCAAAATTTTAAATGGATGTCCCCGCAGGTGACCATTCCGGGATAGTATTAGTAGAGTATTATATGGGTGGTTAGGTTCACGTAGTATTGATATACGAGGACCATGTCTCCCCATATTCGACGGTATTCAGACGAACAGAGTTCGAGAATTCGCAGTCTTTATTCGTACGTCTTAGATTGTAACCTTCTGACCATCTTGGTTGCTGTTCTCTGCAGACCTTCGAGTGCCTTTTGGTTGCGAATCAGTCATGGATTCCAAGCCTTTTTGCCATACTCCGTGTGTGATCTAATATAAGCTGATAGTAAACGAGGCAATAGGTCCGTTTCAAATGATCCAAAAACACGTTTTAACAATCCAACGTGTTTTATGGTCTTTGAAGACGCTCTTGCGCAATGTGTAGGACATCCGAGAACCTCACGAACGATAACTCCCGGGCAATTTCCGTTTGGAGAACGCGGTAATGGCTGAGTTCCAAGTATGTATGGAAAGCAACCCCTGGGGCGCAGCGATACAACCTTGCATCTCTCAACGCAGAATTCAAATGTCACTAGTAGTAGACCATCGGGTAAGCCACGTCCAAAGTTTTCTGCAAGGTTTCATAATTTTCAGGATATTGTATCGTCCTCCATGTTTTGGCGTCGTCCGCGAATAATAATGCCTTTTTTCCAACAATATCTGGTAGGTCGTTTATGAATGGTAGGAAAATGTACTGACCGAGTATGGATCCTTGTGGAACTCCGCGGACAACCTCAGTCGGTCCCGATAAAAAACCATTAACTCGAACCGATATGATATGTTTACGAAGAAACTTCTCAATCCAGTCAATCAAATGACCTCGAACACCGCAAAAATGGAGCGCTCGCAGGATATATACGTGGGCCAACATCCCGTCAAAAGCTTTCAGAAATAGAAGTAGACTACCTCTACCGCCTCCCCTGCATCCACTGATCTCATCGATTCATCTCGTGAAAGTGACACATTGGAGAAACAACAAGGATTCCTTTCAATCCCTTGTTAGACCGCCGAAAAAATGGTCCGCATCTCGAATATAGAGAATGCAGTGGACTAAGGTTTCGCAGAAATTGAAATGATGCACGAGCGCCACTGTTAAGGACACCCAGCCATACAGCTCAGTCCTTTTAACCATTGACTACAATGAACTCAAGGACCCCACCCAGGGAGCCTGACGCGGCTTATATGACCGAATCTTCTGGTTAAGGTTTCCATACCCTCAAATTCAAATTCACATTTCTAATCATGAGAAAAAAATTACAAAGACTTCGCTTATCCAATCCCATAGTGTTTACACTTTGGACTCCGAAAACGATGCACAAGATCACAGTTAGTCCATGTAAGTGAAATAGTAAAATACTGTTTGCGACGAGCGCAGGCGAATATATTATGTAGCCGGGTTCTGAAACATAATGTCTGCCAGCGCATCATCAAGCTGACGCTCGAAAGATACTACTGTTGGCGCACAGACCACGCGAAGTGGTAAAGAGTTCCATGTGCTGCACACTGATTGCAAACGAATGGCGTCTGCAGTCAAGACGGTTCCTTTTTTGGAGTGCCAACTTCAGTGGATGCCCTCTAAGATGAGCATTGGTCGATAGAACCAAAAGAGATCTACATGGATGATCGTGCCGTTTGAAAATCTGATACAGTGAGATTGTATCACCTCTGATTTGACGATATTGAGACGAGTATAGCCCCGATGGCTGTGATCTTTCGTCATAGGTCTTGGAATGTGGACCTTTGACCATCTTGGTAACCATTCTCTGCGGATGTTCGAGCACCTTTCGATCTGGCTGCAGCCATGGGTTCCAGGCCTGAATTGAGTACTCGGCGTATGGACGGATATATGTGGCTAACAGACGCGGAAATAAAACCAGCCCAAACGATCCAAAAACACGTTTAAGCAGTTCAACCTGGTTTACCGCCACAGACGATGCCCTAGAAACGTTTATGGAGCAACTGCAGTCTGTGCGAATGATTACTCCCATATCCTTCTCAGATGCAGCATGAGGTAGAGTTTCGTGTCCGAGGGTGTAGGAAAAACGACCATTGTGATGCAGTGATAAGACTTTGCAGTTGGTAACGTTAAATTCCATGTCATTGGAGGCAGATCATCTGTGGGCTTTGTCAAGGGCTTCCTGGAGATCAAATGGATCTTCTGGATCTTTTGGCATCGTCTGCAAACAGCAGAGTTTATGGTCCGACGAAGTCTGGAAGATCATTTATAAAGGCAGAGAAAAGATGTGGGCCTAGCACACATCCCTGTAGAACCCCACGGTTGACATTTATTGGATCAGAAAGTGAGTGGAATACACGGAATACATGGTACGTAGTCAAAGAAACTCCTCGATCCAGCCAAGTATGAATCCATGGATTCCATAGTTATATAGCTTCCGTATCACTATTTGATGATTTACCCTATCAAATGTCTTAGAGAAGTCCAGATAAATAACATCTACCGCTTTGCTTGGTCTACAGCATGGGTCCAATCGTCTCGAGCCAAAATCAAGTTAGTTGCGCATGACTGATTTTTCCGAAACCCGTGCTGGGTTAGGGACAGTAAGCCATCATTCTCGAGATAATCCGCAACAATGGCTTCCATGACTTTTGATAACACTGGAAGGAGAGTGACGGGTCGGTAGTTGGTTGGGTCACTACGGCATCCATCTTTGTAAATTGGTGAAATAACACCGGTTTTCCACAACCAAGGAAGTATAATATCTTCAAACAATTTTTGGTATAGTTCACTTAAAGGATCCGTTATGTGACTTGCCACAGTGATAAGGGCTTGTGGATGTATGAAATCTAGACCCGATGATGAGTTCTTCTTTAAAACCAGGAGCTTTGTCTTTATCCTTTCGGGAGAAAAGATAATATTTGTCAGCAATGGATAAGGAATATGTTCCAGCAAACGGGGAAGTACTAACCGAATACTACTGGGTGCATTAATCACTTGGGCGTACTGTAGTCTACGCATCTCTGCAGTCTCCTTTGTTTTCGTTCAAACACATCCTAGAAAGTTAGG